CATTAACGCGAGTACATTTTTGCACATCTTGTTTACAAACAATTCGATATTATCGATTGGAGACTATTGGTAGCGATTGTTTCGCACAAAATACACTCTGAATCGGTTGATAACTTTTACAAAGGACAGAATAATATTCTGCAAACTTTTTTTCATTTTTATAACGCGAGCGATGAAAAAGTTAATTGGCTCCTTGCACTGCGAATAAATTTTTCAGCGACAAACCGTTTTTAGACTGTTTAATTAATTTTCTCTTCAATTTCATATTAAAAAATATCATTTTTAAAAAGAGAAATCAATAAAATTATGAGGGATTAAATAATATATGCACTACCGGCCAAAAGTTTGGAATCACTGTGCATTGCAAGTTGCACAAAAATTCCCAGAAAAAAGTCAACAGCTTTAAGAATTTTTTAACGAATTTTGTGTCGTTCAAATCAATCGATATGAGATTAATTGCTATTTATCTCCACAATATCAATAGCAAGTCTATGAAAAATTAGTAGCAGATTCAGTGCTGATGAAAATTGGGAGGTGATTCGAAACTTTTGGCCGGTAGTGTATTATCAAAAAATGTTAAAAAAAAAAATTATAAGTAACATCTTTAAAAAATTGATTTTTAGCACTGCATCAACAAACCTTCTTACACTGGTCTGATCGAATAAAAGAAATCTCCGAATTACTTCACCTCCCTAATTACCTTTAATTACCACCTGGTCATGCTGAACACACTGTATCATAAAATACACATTACTTGATCGACACAACACTAAAACGTTCTACAATGTTTCAAGAAGATTTCGATCTCGAGGTTTTAGTGGTTCAAGATCGAACGATAATAAGGAGGATCCATAAATCTTGGTAAATTTGGCTTATAGAATTTAAGTGGTTGTAAATAGAACAGCGCGCGTTATTTTCATTCAAGGATGCTGGGCGACGTAGGATTACACGATGCACAATGACCGATGAACGTAATTCGAAGCTATTACAACAACAACGTTGTAATGGCGGTTGTAAACTCTAACCGTCGGGGATAATGATATGATTGTGCGCCTAATACGCGACCTCGGGAACCGTTACAGCGACAAAGAAGCTCCTCTCCCGACGACAGACTACTTTTCCTCCTTGTTCTTCGACACGACGCCACCAGCTAAATCTTCCGACGAGCCTTCTCTTCTTTTTCGTCGTGATACCCTCGTCGTCGTCAATGGTAAACGAGACGATTACAGTGGACGATCGAATTGTTAGAGCCACCTGCGAGAAGTTGACGGTTTTACGTCACGATTAATTTTTAGGTGAAAGCCTAATTACGCTGAATTTTCATTAGATGTTTGCAAATTGCAAAAAGGAAAGCTGGTGTGAAAAACGCGGTAGAAAGAAAAGGACATAGGAATTTTGAATGGAAACTGTATCTGCACCCAAAAAAACGATGTCGGTGGAACTTAATTTGAATTTCCCGCGTTATACGGATTTCTATTTATAGACTTGGCGACACTTTGGGCAATATTATCTGTCACATGGGCGTTATTATCTGTCACATGGGCGTTATTTTGTATGAGAACTGCCACTTTTACAGCAGCGTGTTACAGTTTTGTTGGTTTACAAATTTTAATTTTGAATATATTTCAATTTTATATTTTAATTCTTTTTGCCATGTTTTTACTGCTGCTGATGTATAGTAAGTTACTTGAAATGTGTCGAAAGTATGCCTAAAGGAATCAAGGCGGTAATTGCAAAAAAGTACCGACTCTATTACTTCTTTTTCTTTTTTCTTAATTTGGGTAAGTGCAACCTATCGTACAATGATATTCAGCACAGACCGGAGGACTTAAGCTGGCACGAATATGAGTACACCCGCTGGTGCATCACTGTGATATAGCTTATGTCGCTAAACCTGTAGATGTAGAAAGTGATGTCTCGTTAATCTCTCGCGTTCTTCTCCGGTGTCGAGTAATTTCATAGCCAAATTCTTAAGATAATTTCTTTTTTTTTCAATTATTTTTGCCTTAGTAATAGTTATGCCTATCGGCTCAGAGCCAATTTACCAACTTACTCGTCCACATTACCATCTACTATGACGCTTCTTAATTAATTAAAAAATTTCCAAAAAATCTCTAATGTCCCAAATTGTCGAGGCGATTCTTCAGTCGTTGACATAATCTACCGTGTCTGGCGATTTTCTCCTACTCCTTAACTGGTATTTTTCATAACTACCGTGTCTTTTAACCCTTTCGCGACCAGCGCCGGTTATATCCGGCATCCGCTAAATGCTTCACACTGGCTAGCGCCGGTTATATCCGGCATCCGCTAAATGCTTCACACTGGCTAGCGCCGGTTATATCCGGCATCCGCTAAATGCTTCACACTGGCTAGCGCCGGTTATATCCGGCATCCGCTAAATGCTTCACCATTGGTTCGCGCCTCAACAACATTCCCTTTATCCGATACACCCTTAAGTCCTTTGCTGTTCCAACGAAATCCTCTAAGATTTGAAAAAACGCGAGACACTCTTAATGCGTATAGTGTTCACTAATGGCACGACGACCCGTTCGTTAGTGGCGTACCGATGGCTAGTTCCGCCGTTGCGAAAGGGTTAATAGTTAATTAAAAATTCTCCAGCGTTGAGACCTCTATATCGCGATTTTATTTCTGTGCAAACATAAACAACATATCTCGCGCCTCTAATAATTCGATCACACACTGTATTCGCCAAGATTTATGCGAGCCGCTGTATTCGCAGCTGTTTCTTACGGCGTTATTTTCACGGATGGATTAAATCGAGCTCCCCGATCGAGCTTCTCTTCTACCTTGTCTCTTTCACTCGAAAGCTTTCATCCGCTTTGGATGTTTTCGATCGGTGAATGACGCAAAACCAGATACCTCGCGTCGTATATCAACCGTTAGCTGGAATTTTGATCGGCTTTCTTTTTTCTTTTACGACGATATAAAGATCGTTCGATTATCTGAACGTACTTTTACGACCGGATATAAGATAGTACGCGTTCCTCGAGCGGAAAGGTGGCTTTTCTTTTTCAAGTGCGTGCATGTGTGTGTTTAATAATTTCACAATAATGGTACTTTTACGACAGTTCGGTATTATTTGCAGAGTTGTTGCAGAGCAGTGCGTGTTGTAGTTTCATTTCACCGTTTTGTAGACATTTAGATATGCCGTAATCGCAGTTATGTGTATTATAGAACGATTATCGGTCGTCGAAATGCTCAGTCATGTAACAAAGTTTAACGAAAATTTTGAAGGTTGATACGAGTTAATTGGAGAAGAAGCAGTTTTTACTTGTTTTACTTGTTTGTTAAACGATAGGGAGTCGGAATATCTTCGATTTTGTTTTAATAATTAATTTATTTGAACAATTTTTCGTTTATTAATGTGTTGATTAACTCTTTAGAATTCAAAGTACAAAAATGTTAAATTTCTCTTCAAATTTTCTGTTCTCTATAAACAACTCACTTTAGACTGCATTGTGTCCATAACTATAGATTTAGTAGAAAGCATATTTCACATAAATTCGAAATTACCGATGGCAGTTTATTTTGTTTCGGTAAATTTTAGTATTGCACAGTTTCTTCAATTAGTTTAACGTTTCTAATTTTTCTATTAAAATTTCTGCGATTGGAAAGCTTTCAAACGACTTCCTTAGCATACTTGAAAAAAAATTGTTGACACTTATATGGAAAATTTCTTCATTCCTTTTTTGCATATTGAAATGGCAACTGGATTTCAGGTCTTTCGAATAGAAGTAATTTAATATGATATGTTTTTCATGATATGATATGTATTTTGGGTGTATTTGTCGTAGCTAAAGGGTTGGTCTGTTTCTTTTTTGGCATTTGTTCATTCAGCGAGCCGAAGTCGAATACTCGAGGCACCCGGATGAAACTCGTGTCGTTCTCAGTTTTTCACGAGAAGTCTAGCGGTGGAAGAATGACTAACGGCGTCGCCTAATTCTACTCCTTCGCTTCGTATGAAAGCGTTGCTGTGCATTAAGTGGAAACGAAGATTTACGAGCCGATACCGCGTAGATACGAGGAGATGAGAAAATTTATACGCGGTACCTAGGATTCGATCCGTTGGCCGCGAATTGTATTCAAATGACGATCGTGAACCCCTTCGACCTTTCGCGTTGTTACGAAACTACGTCTTTAAATTCCACTCTTCATAAGAACGCTCCTCCTCGCCGTTCATAATTAATTCCTCTTCTGTTCCCGACACACTCTGTCAACGGAGGTGATTGCAAATAAGATATACGGGACGGTTTGTTTTAGTAAACAATGGACACCTATTCTGCGAATTAACACGTTGCGTGTCGCAAGAAAATTGAGAGGTTCGACGAAGCTTCGAGAGAAAGTCCGACATTTTTTGTCACGTTGTTTAAATATAGAAATAACGTTGATTAGGATAGAAGTGGAATGTAGGAAATAGCAAGTAGTCTGAGGCAATTTTTCCATATCGATAAAAAAGGGTACCAAATTTTAGGGGTCGATAGTAGTCATCGAGAAGAGTATGAAATGTCTCTAATTAACGTAGATCCTAAAATCGATGTGAAACGCTACTTCTATATTTAGGAGCGTTCGATATCACGAGTAAGTCTCTTCGCAGCATATTGAATGGAAACAAAAGAAACTTGCTAACGGAAATAAAAAAAAAGAAGATCCTAATCGTCGTATTCCATTTCCTACATAGTCAACGAATATTTGAAAACGTACTTCCATCCATGCAATAGAAGGGTTGACATATGGAACATTTGTAACATTATGAAAAGAAAATTTTGTATTTTTCATCGAAAGGATTGATTGTAGGGGACCTACTTATTGATTAGACACTTTTTGCTCCTCTTGGTGAGCACCATAAGCTCCTAAAGTATCCTTTGCTGCCACCCAGATGGCTGAAGAAGCCATCATTTCCTCGTCCATCTCAGACACTGTTGAACACTTCGAAACGAAAAGTCACTCGAGCTAATACACAACTTTTTGTTGGTTCACAGGCGAGCACCGAGAGTCGAGAGGCGGAAGAGCAGAGTAGCAGCACGACCTCGCCCTCGGAGGGCAGGCACGCCGACGGGACATCCGGCTCGTCCGTCCTCGAGATGGGCAGCACGGATTCGGCGGGCAACGCCCACAGTGGCGGCCCTTCCTGTGGCCTGGTCAGCTCCCTGTTCCCGAGCAGCTGCCGTGGACGAGCTGAAGCCTTCGCCAGACGTCTTCATCGACGGCTGACGTCTCTGGGTGGCGAGGAGGGATCGCAACGGAACGAAGACACCTCGATGCCTAAAGAGACTTCCTGGCTGCGCTCGTCCACCGCTGCGAAAACGGTGGTGATTAACAAAACGTCCGGCAATCACGTTCTTCAGCATCAACCGCGGCACAATCCCAACACGGATCTGTGCTACGATTTCGAGCTAGAGTTCGAAGACGGCCTCAGTTCACCGGCGGAAGAAGCCTCGGCAGCGGAAGTGGCGGACTTAGTGGTGAATCCGGAAGTGTTGAAGTCGAATCACCACGGTATCCATCACAGCTCGCCTAACGGCTCGAAGGCCATGATCTCCAGTCTCGATTCCGAGTCGCCTCTTATGGGAACACCACCGGACAGCGATTCGTCCGACATCTACTTCGATCCGGAATCGTCGGACATCGAGAAGACGAAGAACGAAGTGTACTTCGATCCTATAGCCACCTCGGACAGCGAAGTGGCTACGCCGAATCTCGTGAACGGTTGTGACACAGTGAGAGCGAAGAATACGCCGTATCGCAGGAGGCCGGAGGTCAGCGTGGAACATTCGGAAGACACGTCGGAGTCTACTTCGTCGATAAGAAGGAACAATTTGTGCGAGAAGGAGTACAGGACGAACGAGTTGACGTGCAACTCGGAGGATTCGAACGATAAAAGTTCGGAGGAGATCACGTCGTCCAGTCACGAATCGCTGTGGAGCACGTTCGACGAGAGCACGTTGTCCCTTCAGGACGAAAGTTCTCCGAGAATCAGTCCTAGCTTAACCATGCTTCAGAGCCGACTTCCAAAGTCGCATTCCGATTCCGAGATTCCCGTCCACGGACCCAGCATAACGATCTCCCCCTCTTTGAGCAGAAGGGACGCAGAAATCGGGGAAGGCACCGACGAAGTTGACTTCGTCAATGGTCTCTCGTCGAACGGTATGCTCGAGGACATAAAAAACGCGAGGAACCTCGCGAAGGAAGACTCGCCGGATTCCTTGGAGGACACGAACGAAGACGAGCTGGCCTACGAGGAGGAGAAGCCCAAGGATTCGTCGGTGGAACAATCGAAGAACGTTCTGAATCTGAAAGCAGACGAAAATGTCGGCAACGAGACGGACGATCACTCGACGTACAGTAGTATGATCAACATCCCCGGTGCTCTAACTCTGGAGTGTCCTACGGGAGAGCGAGTGACAGAGGCGACGCTGAAGAACGAGGTGCAGCTGCAGATCGAGAATGGGACAGTGATGAACGACAACGACGAGGACAAGATGTGTCTCCTTCTGAAGAAACTGGCGACGAGTCCAACGGTGAAAGAAGACGTCCATGCGCCTAATACAGAGTCGCAGAAGAACAGTATCGATGAGGAAGAGGAGGGAGAGGAGGGACGACCGCAGAAAATTAGACGCAGTTCGTCGTTGAAAACCGGGAAAACACCACCTGGAACACCTGGAAGGAAGAAGATCGTCAGATTCGCGGATGTTCTAGGCCTAGATCTCGCGGATGTGCGAACGTTTCTCGACGAGATCCCAAAGATCCCTAACTCAGCGTACAGCGACCTGATCTACGACGACATCTTCCATAAGGACACCAGTCCTGTGAACAATACGATGGGCACTGGCACATTTCAATGGGGAACCAGGTACGTGGACAGCAGACGTGGCTCAGCCAGCGTGATGGCACCTCGTAAGCTAGACAGAACTCTGGTACCTCTGTTCCAACAACCCGGCGGTCAGCCTAACTTCCTCGACCTGGTTCGTGAGCGTCGAGTATGCCTGGAGAACGTCCTCGTCCAGGATCCTATCTCTCTGTGCATCCAGGGCACCGTTCGCGTGATCAACCTGGATTTCCACAAATCGGTGCACATTCGATACACGCAGAACTCGTGGCGGAACTTCAGCGACCTGCAGGCCACGTACGTGTTGAACTCGTGCGACGGTTTCAGCGACAAATTCTCCTTTGTCCTGTACTGTCACACGCTGCCAGTCGGCCAGAGGCTCGAGTTCGCCGTACGATTCCAGTGCAAGGGTGAGCAGTACTGGGACAATAACGCCGGAGCCAATTACTGCTTCCAGTGTTTGCCAGCGTCCTCAACAGTCGGCTACCTACCGATCACGGCACCGGAGAACAACCAGCACGAGTGGTCGCCTATGTTCTATTGATGGACGCCATGGCGTTCGCACGGGTTGCCGGTACGTAGACACGGCGATGCTTCACGAAGACAAGGAGTCTAAAGTGGACCCAAATAAGGCTAACAAGCGACAGACAGAGAGAGAGAGAGAGAAAGAGAGAGAGAGAGAGAGAGCCTACGGATGTATAAACGTTCCTAGAGTGTACCTACTGTACATATAACTGTCCTATTCGAGTCGGCCGGAGGGATGAGAGGCAGATCGGAGAGCAGGGATCGCACTGGCGTCAATTATTCTTTCCTGCCATTTCCCCGAGCAGCCTTTCACTGGACTGGAAGAACTTGACGCACCTGTTAGACTGACATTTTTTTTTTTTACACGTTCGTTCCTTGTTTGCGAGCGGGGGAATCCATATTCACGACGAGAGACGACGATACTTCGATGAACGAACGGGTTGACGCCGTTGGTTGAATGAGAGAGAGAGAGAGAGAGAGAAGAGATTTTAAATGGCTATTCGAAGTTAACAGGACGAAGAATCGATCTTGAAGATTGGAGAACAGGCGATCTGGAGGGTTGGAAGAGTTTTAAAGAGAATTCAGAGTGGGACTGAGCATACGAAGCACTCGAATTGTCCAGGAGGAGAGAGCATGGAGATTATTTTCACGTTCCTAGAAAGTACCTAATTCTACAGGCTTTGTGCCGCAATTTTGAGCCTAACGACGTGTTTGAAAGACTCGCTGATCACGATACGAGATGTTTGTTGAGGTCAAAGTTTATGAAAGAAACTGTTAATCAGTACGTAATGTATGTTGAAAGGATTCTAGGATGGTACTGCTTCGAAGAGGCAAGATTGGAGGCTGTTTGCTTTTCTTTCGTTTCTGTTTCTCTTTTCTTCTTTATTTTAACGATATCTCAACGTAGTCGTGTACTAATGAAACAGCTCGGTACGGTTGAAAATGACCTCTCAATGAACTTTTATCCGCTAGTAACATATCTCTGCTAAGTAATTTCTGGATGATGACCAATACACCAGTTTTGCTTATGAAAGTTTCGATTAGTTGACCGACACAGTGTCTGTACTTTTAGTCCAATAGAGAGCGAGAGAGAGAGAGAGAGAGAGAAGAGCGTGGCAGAAAGTGAATCAGCAATGTGAAAACTTCGGACTGGAAGTCTTTTCTGTATTCGTTTAAATCAAAACATTCGACCTGTGCCAATCTGATCCAGTGCCATTGCATGAATTACAACATCACGGAAACACACGAATCGCAATTAAACATATACATATTATATCGTATAAAGTACGTTTTTTAACGAAATGTGATAATTCATAAGCGACGAATATCATTACTGGCCATCGAGCTATACCTACCTTTTTTTTCTTTTTTTTTTTACTTTTTTTTCTCTTATCAATTTTCAAATTTTACTCGCCAGACCTTGTTCATCACACACAATTCAGGGAAACCTCGAGGCCTGATCGACTAAATGTCGTCACTGTCTATACACCTCTCGATATAATAATAATAATAATAATAATAATAATTCATCGATTCTACTCGCCTGGATGCACGTGTATTTGTTATACAAAACGCTGTGGTGTTTTAGAAATGCGACGTTATTGTCCAAAGCAAAAAGAGGTTTCTATATTTTCCCAAGGTAGACTTTATTTTTACTTGGACGTTGACGTTCGGCTACCTTTGCTACTAAATTCCAGGTGTCGTTCCTGAGGTCATTTAAACCCTTACGCCAGTAACCCGGGTACCCTTTTGCATAATTCTCACTTGAAATATTCTCACTTCCAGGTAGAAGATTGAAATATCCGGCCGGATCGTTGTTACTTCGCACATTTCCTATCTGCGTTTGCCTCGAGTTTAGAATTTTCTTATCAGAAAGCTGCTAAAATTGGACGATGAAGTAAAACGACGATTCTGGTTATTGGCATAAGGGTTAAATCAAAAATGAAGAGTGACCAAACTACATTCGAGGTTTCCTTAACTAGTTATCAACACTTAAAAATTGCTCACTTGCAGCGAAAATTTCATTTAATAACTAATTAAAGAAACTTCAAATGCAACTTTGTCGCTCTTCGTTCTACCCTTATAATGTCTTCAAGAATCGAACCTGATTGTGTACCAAAGCTAATCGAACACCCTGTACGTGTTACGTTACACCCTGTATATATGTATTTTACAAGAGACAGACGGGACAAAATTTTACACTCTGAACTCCTACCTTTAACAAGGAGTGTCTTTCGTTCATTTCTGTGCTTTCCGGTACAAACGGTGAACAAGAAAGGAAAGACTCGCGCGAATCACCCTCGCACGGGTTAACATATTAACGGTAATGAGTAACGTTTGTCAGCGCGGAACCAAGCTGGCTGTTGATCGAGAACGAAAATCGAGAACGAGTCATTTTGCAGAGGTTTCTGGCATCGACTTGAGCGTGTCGCGAGCCACATTTATGGGTACATTGTGTGCCAAAGGAAGCAACAATGCATCGGTGGGTGTCGCGTGCGCGACATCGCCGCCCGTTTAGAAACTCGGTTTCGTTTAATTTGTCGAATTGTGAAGGACAAACTGTTTTGTGTGTGTGTGTGTGTGCGCGTGTGTGTGTGTGTGTGTGTGTGTGTGACATAACAACGTGTCGACGATCCCGTTATAGCTAGCCTTGGTCGTACACATACATGTTTGCTGACGTCTAAACGACAGACCAGGTGAAACAATGAACCAATTGTAATTAACGACATTCGCACTCGACCAGAGATAGAACGGAGAGTGATCGAGATAAATGTTTAGGGTGCGCACAGTTTATATATGATGCTCGGAAGATTTTTCGAGACGATAGTATTTCAACGCCACCACGATATTTTTGATAATGTTAAGTTAAGAAATCGGCCGCGGCTGAATTTGCCGACGCGGTTGTTTCAGGTAACAGAATACAATACATGTAACGTTATTAACAGAGGAACGAATGGATAACGATATCTGAGAGATCTATTGTACCGTTGTGACGACGTTTCATCGAGAGAAATATATATACATATATACGCGATATCACGATATCTTTTGTAAAAGTTTTGTTGAAAGCGGCACAAGTGTTTGTAGAGGTAGCGCGTAGGCGATAGAAATTGTACATAAGCGGCGTCAGTATTGGTGGGGAGAAGTGTGTTTTTTATCGTCGTCGATTTTTTAGAGACTGTTTTGAGAATCACGTTTGATTACACGCGATTTTTTTGTTGTACATATATATTTTGCACGATCACGTTTCTCTAGTTTTATCGATACCACCATCGTTTCCCTGTCTTCTCTTTTTTTCTAATTTTATATCGAACATGTACATGGTAAATATCGTTAGACTGCTGTTTTGCTCGATTTTTATTTCGTCGTGTTGTCAACTTTGGGATAAAATGCTTGGTCCAATCGAGAAGTATCGGGAAAATGTTTCTTTTCTTTTCATCGATTCGAAGAGGTTCACAGAAAAGTGCAATTTTCTTCAACGCGTTCCTTTTTCTCAGACTTCAACACGATCCAATGAGATATTAATTCTATGTATTAACGAGAATACGACTTGTTTTTGATTGTTTTTAATTTAAGCGCGTCGTAACCACCATTATTGAGGCCCTCGATATTCACTCACGTATTGCTCAACACACAGTAAAAGCCTTTCCTATTCGTTATTCTCTGTGTGTCTCTGTGTGTGTGCGTGTGTCTATGTACGTGTATGTGTGTATATATATATATTATCTGAAAAACGAAGTCGTCCTCTATTCTGGTTAACTACAGAAGTAATATTCTTTCACATGTTAAGAATGATAAAGTTATTGAGATTTATGGAGACAGTTATATCAGAGTCAAAGAGAGATATTTTAATTATGTTACGGGAGCTCAAACCTGATGTTAAATATACGAGGTGTTTCGGCGATTCTGCTGCAAGAATAGAAATACGAGTGTTTCGTATAAAAGAGGAGTATTAATTTTGCGTTTCTTTCGACAGCGTCGAGAAATTTGTAATTTTATTTATTTAGAAAACAATTGAAAGTCAGATAAGATGTACAATGGAGAGAGATGTGTCTCGAACGTTGAGAATGAGAATGAGAACGAAGTAAGGGGAGAAGGACCGTCTACTGCCAGACACGTTTTGCGTTCATTCTTGACAGAAACTTTGTCTCTGTAGTTTTCATTTCACGAAAGCACAACATTTCCAACAGATTTATCTACGCAACACCGTCGAAAGAAATCAGAAATTTGATCATCCAACCAGTACGAAAACGCCCTTTTACACGTTTAATAGGAGGAGAAGGTGAGGGCGTGAAAAGAAGTCGAACTTTATCGTCTGTGTCCTCGACGAGGAATGCCCCGTCCTGAAACCCCAAACCTCTCCTGTCCATGACGGACGTTCTTCTAGGTCGCGGCGACGACTCCACGGCGTCACTCTGAACAGCGATTAGAGTCTCGCTCTCGACGCGGCACCCAACCCAGCCAAAAGTAGCTTACACACGATAAACAAATTGGCGATAGAACAGCCGAAACACCTCGTCTATCAGCTTGTAAAATCGAAAGACTTCTGAAACGAAAGCCATTTATATTATCGACGATTGTTAACAACTAATGGAATACACGTTACGAATTTTATATAGCGCAGGGTGTCGTCTAAGGAAAAAAAGAGGAAAGATCGTCTGTGAAAATGTCGTTTTGGAAGGTGAGGCGATCGATCTTGGATGAAATTTTCACGATATCCTCGATACACGTTCGTTGGTTGAGACGGAGTAACGGAGAATCGTGAAAAGGCGATCAGGTGACACCCTGGGTAAAACCGGAGACGAAGCTATTTTTGTTAATTTTCCGTCGTGTTTTGTAAGTTACTGCCGTCATCTCGGCGGCCGTAAGATTCTCACGTGGGGGACGGTGAAAAACAAACGACGAAATCGATTTTCACCAGCAGCAGCAGCCTCTTCTGGCACACGTGACTCTGTCGCGCGGGGATCTTACGTCATCGAGGAGTCGAAACACGCGCGGGAAACACTGTAACGCCTCGGTCTCGGACGTAGAAATATTTTTGACATCGTGCCATTTTTCTTAGCCCGATCCGTCATTTGTGGAACACCGTTACGTCAAAAGCTTTTTACGAGCTTTATTTCTGCACGCATGATAACATTTCTTTTTTAGCAACGTCCATTTCACGCGAGCGTTGGATCTACACACTCGGCTTGAGATCACTTTTTCGTGCAATTGGCGGATGTAAAGTGGAGATTCGTCGGAGGAATTTTTTGTTTGGAAAATTACCAAGTTTCAACGGGGAGGGGAAAATAAAACGAGAGATTGGTGCAAAGAACGATTTGTTCTTTGGCTTTGAACGAAAATATTAGTCGAGTAGTTTCGAAAAATCGGTCGTAACCTCTGGTCTACTTCGGAACGGAGCGGCTTTCGCGTTTAACCCTTTCGCCGCGGTGGATTTTAATCGCGATCGAAACACCTTTCCTTTCGGCGTTTTCAAATTTTTCAATTGAGAATTGAGACGGGAGTGCGCGAAGGGCGAAACGATGGAGGATTAAATTCGCGCGAAATTCGCAGTATAGGCGAGAAAACATTGGAACCGCCTATAGGCGCCAAGGACGGCGCGAGGAAACATTTGAAACGCCTATAGC